TCTTTTTTTTTTTTTTTGCTGCTTGGGGCGGCCAAAACCCTGGAGCCGGCCCTGTGAGCAAAAAGTCTTTTTTTCCATTAAACATTTTTTTCATTCACTAAAAAGGTGACTGGATCATCCTCAAGCCTTCCAAAATGAGATAAGAGCAAGCATCTGAATTTTTTCAGCACACAAAGGGAGCTTTTCAAAGTGATCAGTGACTGCAACTGGGGACTACAAATGTTTTCTCTTGTCCAGCAAAAATTAAAGTAGGAAATACTAGGTAAATTTCATCCCTTGCCTTTAAACCATGCATTTTTAGCATAAAGTTAAACTGAAATGTTCAAGTTAACAAATTCTTATGGCTAAAAATTAGTATTACAGCTGGACAAAATTGTCTGCCACAATGGGAGGGGGAGAGATAGCTCAGTGGTTTGAGCATTGGCCTGCTAAACCCAGTATTGTGAGTTCAATCCTTGAGGGGGCCACTTAGGGATTTGAGGCAAAATCAGTACTTGGTCCTGCTAGTGAAGGCAGGAGACTGGACTCAATGACCTTTCAAGGTCCCTTCCAGTTCTAGGAGATAGGATATCTCTATTTTTCTTTTTTTCCTGCATTGGTCTTCTTTTGAACAAGTATGTCAATTTAATCATTTTTAACCAATATTGCAGGTGAGCCATCAGCAGGGTGCTAAGAAATGCCCATTGCTATTAAATCTTTTTTTACTATATACTTTTTATACATAGCAAAAAATTCCCTCCAAACCTTCACAACACTTATGTTTAAAAGTGTAAGCACTCTAATAGAAATATCCATGATCACCAAATACTGTTTTAGTTCCAGTATGATTGACCAACGTTTAAAAGCAAGTACATTATTCTTTTCTTGTATAAACAGATCCATATTAAATGTTTTAAAATATATCTGAGGAAAGATGCATGTTAGACTGACTGTGAAACAGATTACCATTTAAAATGTCCACATACAAAGTGCCAAATCCTGCTCACCTTTCTCATGGAGATGTCCTAATAGGTTTGCATAAGTATGGTTTGTTATGAGTAAAGTGATCAGATGTAATCAGAGTGATTAAAGTATGTGGTATTTAACAAGTAGTAGTTGTGAAATGTTGGCTCTCTGTATGTGTTTTAGCTGGTAGGTGATGTTTTAATAATTAGGGTCTACCCCAGTTATGAACTCAATTGTTCAGAAGTGGATGAAAGGTACCAATAAAATGTCAGAATAATTTATAACAAAAAATGCTGATAGAAGAAGGTACAAAAGGGAAATAAAAAGATTAGATTAGTCCAAACAAAAGTGTCTACTGATACTGCCCAAGGATTGTGTAAAGATTGTGACTGTAAACAAAAGATAGAATTGGAAATTAATGGACCAAAACTGGTGTGTGGGAAATTAGGCCTAATGTGTGGACAAAATAATGGCACTATGAGCTTTTCCAGCCATCACCCCTTTAGGGGGTCCTTAAAAGAGACTTTGGGGGAAATTATGACACTAGGTGGGATGGGTGAACTGGAAGAGTGAGCTTTACTATCATGAATTCCACCCCGACCATCTGCTGGAACCGAGGGATCCACCATGAAACTGTTGGTCCTTTATTGTCCTGATTGCAAAAGGCATTGTGACCAGACTGAGTCAAAGAGAGGGAACTGAAGACATGCTCTACCAGCCTTGGCTGAGTCCTAACAGCACCTGGAATGTGAGATTTGAGTTCCTGCTGTCACTCTCACCGTTGTGTGTCCTTTTCCTTCCCCCGCCTCTTCTCTCTCTCTCTCTTTTGCCTTGCATTTAATAACAGTCTGGCTTAGCCAGCCAAGACTGCATCTTTTGCAGAACTGCTGAGAACCTGTGATCAGAGAGGCGGCTAAAAGCAACATGTTAAACAGCCTGAAGCTGGCGTAAGATTGCTAGGTTTCAAAGTGGCTGATAAGACTGTGTGTTGTGCCTGTGTTTCTCTGGAAGCAAGTTGCAAGTAAGAGGCAGCACCAGAGAAAACTGCATTTTCTATCTTTGGTATTCTTTTTTATCCCTTTCTCTGTGTGTTGGTCTTATTTTGCCTTCGGAAAAGCAGCATCAAACTTAAACAACAACAGCATCTCCAGCCCATCTCAATTATTTCTCTTTTCCCCAAAAAGGACAGTTATTGCCATCTTTAATATCATCTAGTCTAAAAGGCTATTAAATGGAGGGTGGGGGTTTCCTTATAAAATCTTTCTAGACCTAAAGGGAAAGGGAGCAAGAGAATTGTTAAAACAAAAACCTTGTTTAATACTTTATATTTTAAGGGCTTTAATTGTTTTTCCTTTTTTTTTTTGTATCTTTAATAAAAAATCTAAAAGATTTTTTTAGTGGTGGATTGTTGCCATGGAACTAAGCAGACCAAGGTCTCTGTACACAAAATCTTGAAACTTGTTAACTGTTTAGCTTTGTGCAATGACAGGGTTATGTTAGCACCTCTGACTCTCTGGACCTATTTATTTCATTGAAATTAACCAACAGTGATATGGTGGTGATAGCCTTGTTTACAGTGGTCAGTACCATGGTCAGTGCTGTAAACTTCTGTAATATGCTTTTTGGGAGGTCTCTATATCTTAAGTAGTTCTATCACAAGTAATTTAAGAACTGTTTTGAGTCTGATTTGGGTTGTTTCTAAACTGATCTTCTGTTAGAATGTACTCCACATTGAATTTTTGTTTTTCCCTAAACAATGTAGGCATATAAAACTCAAGTAAAAGATTTTTTTTCTTTAGTTTTGGAAGGATCATTGTATGAAGATCTGATATCTTAACTGACATCTGAGCAGTCCGATAACCTAAGCAGATTCCACAGTTTTGTCAATGATATTTAAATTCGTAAAGTGTGGTCAGAAAAGTGATTGCAACATGTCTTTGACATTTCAGATTGGTTTTTCATCAATGAGTGTTTTACCACTTGAAAATAGTTTATGGAGCCATCAATTTTATTTTTTTCTGTTGATTCTTTGCACTTACTGATGACTTATCAGTTTAAAATTACTTTTAGTTGTAAATTGCCTGTTAGCTTTACTTGATTTTTAAATCTTTCTCTTAATATTGTCAATCTGCATATTCTATACTGATACGTACTGTGTTTTATTATTACAGAATGAATCCAGAGAACATATAGTTGCCTTCAACATGCTAAATTACAGAGCATGCAAAAATCTATGGAAATCTTGTGTAGAGCATCACACGTTTTTTCAGACAAAGTCGTCACTACCTCATGAAAGAAAGATATTGTCCCATTATTGGACCTTTGGTTCTAGAAACCCAACAAAGTGAGTACAGTGCCTAAAGACATGACTTTCTATTTAATTTAAAAAATCATTTTCAAGTCTTGTACACACTTTCTACACAAAGTTGAAAGCTCAGGACAGTAGTTCATGAGTTGAATCCTGTTTCCAGTACTATCATATATTTCGTATGTAAGTCACTGAACCGCACTGTGTGTGTTTCCCCAACTGTAAAATAAAGAGAAACTTAATTCCTCACAGGACAGTTCTTGAAGTTTTGTTGTTTGCAGAGCATTTTGAGATCTCCAGGTAGAAACAGGCATAGAATTGTAGCATGGTATCCTTATTATGGAATCTCATTTTATAGAAATATTTCATGACATTAAATTAAAAAGAAAAAAAGAAAGTTCTTTGGATTTAAACCTGGTTCACCAGTATGGTTTAAAACCCACATAGTTCAACCTTGTACAAAGGTATAAGAGAACCAGAAAGTAAAAGTGACATGAAACTAATGACACAATATTTTTGCGAAGCAAACTTGTCTGTTTTCCTTTTCTAAGTTGAGAGAAATAAGAAGTTTTAAAGATGAAAAATTTACATTTACTTTTAATAATCTCAGGTTATGTTAATAACAGAGGTAAGGAACCTTTTTTGCAATATTGTTATTTTTAACATTCATAAGAAAAAAGAGTAGACAGAAAAATACACTAACAAATCCTGCATAATTCAAAATTGGTTTGAGTTTAAAACTGAAATCTGTATCATGCTCTACATTAAATGGATAGTATTTTCAAAAAATTTTCAATTAATCTTTTATAATACATTAGGATTTACTCTAATACTTGGATGCTATTACCAAAGGAATTGGTGTTTTCAAATTATTAGGAAATAAGTATGGCTGGAAGAGTTTTTTGTTCAAAAAAAGCAATGCAATGCAGAACATATTTAAGCATTTGGAACTTTGGTAGGTCAGGAGCTCCTGCAAAACAAGCTCTTCTGAATTCGGTATAACTATGGAAAGATGGGAAGTTTCAACTCTTCTGTAGTAAGTGTGCAGCAGGACCTGCTGGCTGCTGATTTTCTGAAGAAATGAATGAAAGTCTATTTTTCCAGTCGTCTGGAATCTCTCCCGTCTCCCATAATGTTCCAAACATAATAGCTAGAGGCTCAGATACCTCCTCTATTAGCTCCTTGAGTATTCTAGGATGCATTTCATCAGGCCCTAGTGATTTGCAGGCATCTAACTTTTCTAAGTGATTTTTAACTTGTTTTTTTTTTGTTTTTGTTTTTAGCTTCTAAACCTACCCCCTTCCCATTAGCATTCACTATGTTAGGCATTCCTTCAGACTTCTCGGTGAAGACCGAAACAAAGAAGTCATTAAGCATCTCTGCCATTTCCAAGTTTCCTGTTACAGTTTCTCCCTCCCCACTGAGCAGTGGGCCTACCCTGTCCTTGGTCTTCCTTTTGCTTCTAATGTATTGATAAAGTCTTCTTGTTTCCCTTTATTCCTGTAGCTAGTTTGAGCTCATTTTGTGCCTTTGCCTTTCTAATCTTGCCCCTGCATTCCTGTGTTGTTTGCCTATATTCATCCTTTGTAATTTGTCCTAGTTTCCATTTTTTATATGACTCCTTTTTATTTTTTAGATCATGCAAGATCTCGTGTTTAACCAAGGTGGTCTTTTGCCGCATTTTCTATCTTTCCTACCCAGTGGAATAGCTTGCTTTTGGACTCTTAATAGTGCCCCTTTGAAAAAGTGCCAACTCTCCTCAGTTGTTTTTCCCCTCAGTCTTGATTCCCATGGGACCTTACCTATCAGCTCTCCGAGCTTACCAAAATCCACCTTCCTTAAATCCATTGTCTCTATTTTGCTGTACTCCCTTCTACCCTTCCTTAGAATTGTGAACTCTATGATTTCATGATCACTTTCACCCAAGCTGCCTTCCACTTTCAAATTCTCAACAAGTTCCTCCCTATTCATTAAAATCAAATCTAGAATAGCTTCCCCCCAGTAGCTTTTTCAACCTTCTGAAATAAAAAATTGTCTGCAATGCAGTCCAAGAACTTATTGGATAGTCTGTGCCCCGCTGTGTTATTTTCCCAACATATATCTGGATAGTTGAAGTTCCCCATCACCACCAAATCTTGGGCTTTGGATGATTTTGTTAGTTGTTTAAAAAAAGCCTCATCCACCTCTTCCACCTGGTTAGGTGGCCTGTAGTAGACTCCTAGCATGACATCACGCTTGTTTTTTACCTCTTTTAGCCTAACCCAGAGACTCTCAACACTTCGTCTCCTATGTCCATCTCCATCTCAGTCCAAGTGTGTACATTTTTAATATATAAGGCAACACCTCCTCCCTTTTCCCCCGTCTATCCTTCCTGAGCAAGCTGTACCCATCCACACCAACGTTCCAATCGTGTATTATCCCACCAAGTTTCGGTGATGCCAACAATGTCATAGTTGTACTTATTTATTAGCACTTCCAGTTCTTCTTGCTTATTACCCATACTTCTCACATTTGTATCTAGGCATCTAAGATACTGATTTGATCTTGCCTCCCAGTTTTGCCCCAACCCTCCTTTCTCTTTGCCATTATAGCCCACGCTCCCTCCTATTTCCGACCCATCTCCCAAGTCTTCATGTTCTCCACTTATCTGTGGGCTTTGCTCACCTGTCCCTTTCCTCACCTTTCATATGGTATGGTAAATCATACCATATGAAAGAGTTGTGTTCCGAGGTTCTTATTTGCAGGTACAGTTTAAGCATCAGTATCTGAAAATGTACTGTTTGTCTATCTTTCTAATGGGATTAATAATGCCTCCATGGCACTTCTAGAACAGAAGTATTAAGGCTACAGATTGAGCTTCTCGAGAATTTATTTGATGAAGGGACAAATCCTTCTTCCTTACGCAATAGGAGTCTTGTAATGAAAAGCATAAAAGGATGATACACTGGTATAAATATACTCTTCACCCTTTCTAAATTGCTACTATAAATACTGATAGTTATATCATGTAAATCTGTGCAGTTTATTTAGTACTTACAGGGAGGGCAGCTCTCCCCCCCCCCAGTGGAAAACTGTGTAATTTGATAGCCAGTAGAATAAAAACATCACAAATTAGGCTGTCTGGGATTGTATTCGTAGAAGATCCTCAAACAAAAATATAAATTTATTTCAAAGTAATTGCTATTGCCCATTTTTAGCTTATCAAGCTTAAAGAGGGATTTTTGTAGACAGTTTAAAAAACAGTTTAAAACAAAAATAAAAAATAAAACCAAATCTTTCAAATCTTCCTAGTTTTCACAGTTATACCTGCTATGAGAAAAGAAGCATACGATCTAGTTGCTGTAGTTATTCCATATAATTGCAAAAAACTTGTCTGAAGAATTTTTTATTTTAGGATAAAAGACCTTCTTTAAAAAAAAATTGATATACCCATCTTCTCCTGCAATTGCTAGAGAGGTGTAAAGGCAAGTAAACTGAGAGGAAAATTCAAGTATTGAGGGTACTCAGAGAACCTTTAGTCTCTTTTGGAGAACTCATGATCAAAGTCAATTTAGGAGAAAAATTGAAAAATCTAGAAAACATTTTCTCAGCATTGGTTATAAAGTGTTTTAAATCTGAGATATTTGTCAATTATTAGATACTAGGGCTGTCAATTCTTCACAGTTAACTCACGTGGTTAAAAAAATGAATCGTGATTAAAAAATTAATTGTGATTACTTGCCGTTTTAAACACACTATTAAACAGTAGAATACAAATTGAAATTTATTAACTATTTTTGGATGTTTTTCTACATTTTCAAATATATTGATTTAAATTACAACACAGAATACAAATTGTACAGTGCTCACTTTATATTATTTTTATTACAGATATTTGCACTGTAAAAATGATAAACAAAAGAAATAGTATTTTTCAGTTCACCTCATACAAGTACCATAATGCAGTCTCTTTATCATGAAAGTGCAACTTACAAATGTAGATTTTTTTGTTATATTAACTCCCCTCAAAAACAAAACAACGTAAAACTTTAGAGCCTACAAGTCCAATCAGTCCTACTTCGTGTTCAGCCAGTCACTCAGACAAATAATTAGATAAAATGGAAAGAAGGTACTAATGTGAGGTTTCTAAAGATAGCTACAGCACTCGACCCAAGGTTTAAAAATCTGAAGTGCCTTCCAAAATCTGAGAGGGATGAGGTGTGGAGCATACTTTCAGAAGTCTTAAAAGATCAACACTCTGATGCGGAAACTACAGAACCCTAACCCTCAAAAAAGAAAATCAACTTCTGTTACTGGCTTCTAACTCAGATGATGAAAGTGAACATGCATCGATCCTCACTGCTTTGGACTGTTATCAAGCAGAACCTGTCATCAGCATGGATGCATGCATGTCCTCTGGAGTTGTGGTTGAAGATGAAGGGGCATATGAATTTTCAACACATCTGGCACGTAAATATCTTGTAATGCTGGCTACAACAGTGCCATGCAAATGTTTGTTCTCACTTTCAGGTGACATTGTGAACAAGAAGTGGGCAGCATTATCTTGTGCAAATGGAAACAAACTTATTTGTCTGAGTGACTGGCTGAACAAGAAGTAGGACTGAATGGAGATGTAGGTTCTAAAGCAGGGGTAGGCAACCTATGGCACGCGTGCCAAAGGCGGCACGCGAGCTGATTTTCAGTGGCACTCACACTGCTCGGGTCCTGGCCACCAGTTCAGGGGGCTCTGCATTTTAATTTAATTTTAAATGAAGCTTCTTAAACATTTTAAAAACCTTATTTACTTTCCATACAACAACAGTTTAGTTATATATTATAGACTTATAAAAAGAGACCTTCGAAAAAGGCTAAAAGGTATTTCTGGCTCGGGAAACCTTAACTTAGAGTGAATAAATGAAGACTCGGCACACCACTTCGGAAAGGTTGCCGACCCCTGTTCTAAAGTTTTACATTGTTTTATTTTTGAAGGCAGTAATTTTTTTTGTACATAATTCTACATTAGTAAGTTCAACTTTAATGATAAAGAGATTACATTACAGTACTTGTATGAGGTGAAAGGAGCAATGGTCTCAAGTTGCATTGGGAGAGGGCTAGGTTGGATATTAGGAAGAACTATTTCACTAGGAGTGTGGTGAAGCACTGGAATGGGTTACGGAATCTCCATCCTTAGAGGTTTTAAACTCCGGCTTGACAAAGCCCTGGCTGGGGTGATTTAATTGGGGTTGGTCCTGCTTTGAGCAGGGGGTTGGACTAGATGACTTCCTGAGGTCTCTTCCAACCCTAGTCTTCTATGATTCTGTGAATTGAAAAATACTATTTCTTTTATTTTTACAGCACAAATATTTGTAATAAAAAATAAATATAAAGTGAGCATTGTACACTTTGTATTCTGTGTTGTAATTGAAATCAGTATATTTGAAAATGTAGAAAACATCCAAAAATATTTAAATAAATGGTATTCTATTATTGTGTAACAGTGTGATTAATCATGATTAATTTTTTTAATCGCTTGACAGCCCTGTTAGATACTGTACCAAACGCTTTTCATTAGGAAGTTTGAGGTGCCTTTCTTAAAAGTTGGAGGATTTTGACAGTCAGCCCTCCCTCCATCTTTTTCCTGACACTGCATGTGTAAGTTTAAAATATTTTCCATTTCTCCTGGATGCTGTTGGTAATCTTGTGCCGTCTTGACGTAATGGGTTCTATACTTCAACAAAGCACACTCATTAAAAGCCTTAGTATATATTTTAAGCAAGCTGCCTTCTCCTTTTCAAGAGCGGTAAACACTCCGAGGCTCCAGTTTCCATCAATACATTGAATATGAAAAAAAAACCTAGAGATTTCTGCCATTTGTCTAAGTAATTAAAATTATTTTGTCAGCTTTAAAGGACTTTATTAAATTATCTTATTCCAGTTAAATGTAAGATTTGTTATTTTCTGCCCAAAGAATGAACTGTTGCCAATCACATGGCTTTTGTCTAAGATAATAGACTAGCTACTGGAACTCTTATCATTCTGGGAGTTGAGCCAGAACAATTACAGTACACATGGCTTCAGTTTCAGTAACAAGGTGAGCACATAAACTTTAAAAAATGGATAATAACCATGGGTTCTAAAGGAGATTAGCCCCATCCTAGCAAATGAGCATGGTTCTAAAGCAAAAAAAAACCCAAACAAACACCCAAAATATCCCCCATTCTCATACAGGTCTTCAAGTCAAACACGATGATGGAATATCTTAACAACTTGATAGAGGTCTTTTTTGAGATTCAGATTGGATGTTTTTTCTAAAAGATCTGCTCTAGGAATTACTTTGGGGAAGTTCTATAGCCTGTGTTATTCAGGAGGTCAGCTGAGATGCTCACAATGGTCCCTTCTGGCCTTGGAATCTATAAATATGAGAATAGGATACATTCAATTCCACTTCCATTTATGCTTTTCAAGTCAACTTTGAAATGAAGTTTAAAACCATAGATGACACATCCTTTGATGAGAACTAAAAACACCCAATAGATAAACTTAAAACTATTTAACTACCATGTGTCCTGGAGAGCAAAACTCCTGGAAAACTAAACATAATTGTTTTATTAGAATGAGGGAGAATTGTTTGTATCCAACAATCCACTGCATACATAGATAGTATTGTGTGCTAGAAAACCATATGCTCCAGGCTTCGTAGCTTTGCAAAGGTATGAATCTTAACCCATGCCATGCAAGTTCTGTCCAGCACAGAGCCAGAGGGTAGATTCTCAGCTGATATAAACTATCACAGCAGGAAAAGAGAGCTGCTTCCAAACTTAAAATTATTTCCCTCTGTCCTTTTGTTATGTATCACAAATTGTCCCCAAAGAGGAAAAATAAAATGATAATTTTTTGCAATATGACCTCCTGAATTTTACAGGAAAGAAATGGTAAAACAGTCAGAAAATAAAAAAGGAAGGATAACACCTAAATAATGTATAGAGTTCAGGAAACATACCGCAGAAATCTAAGGATCTTACTGCGGGGATTTAGATCTAGTGTGATCTGGACAACTGCTGTAAAAGCAGTGCTATTCTGAGTGACCTGTTAGAGTTTTAAGGTAGAAGAGCTCATAAATCACAAAATCTATTAATCCATTCTGTGTGTTGTTGGAATGCTGGGAATCACTGCTTTCTAATGATAGAACATTTATCTGCTATGACCATTTATGAGAAAATGGACCTTATAGTTTCTGATCCTTCATTTGAGCACTACTTATTTTTGGAACAGCTCCAGATCCCAGACCTCACATCACTGTTACCTCCCCCACTCCACCTACAGTTTTCATGAGAAGTGTAGGACTTTCTCCATGACTCACTCTTAAGTGCAGAGCATCTTAGCAGTTGTTACCAAAGAAATTAAAAAATTAGCAACCTGTCTCCTGCTACTCTCTCTGCTTGCTGCTGTTGACTTAATAAGCAACCTCAGTGGAGCATGGCATTTCTTTCTGGAACTAGGATAAAAATAAAAAATTAGATATGTGGCTAACTATTAGCTAACATAACATTAAATAAAAAAGCACATAAACAAGACTGTCCTATAATTCACCATAATGCTCACTTCCCCCGCCCCCACCAAATTATTAGGTGTTAAAGCTGATGGTGCCATTATTGCTTTAATAAGCACATGAAAACTTACTCCTTCTAATAGTTACACTAATTGGTGTGTATAAGTTCCATAGAATAACATTTGAACAAACATATTTAAGAATGAGGCTCTTAATTATGTATATATGCATTGCCCTATTCTACCAGTCTTTATACATACAGTTTCCAGTCACTTAAATGAGAATTACATGTAAATAAGTGCTGCAGAACCAGATCCTAAATGAAGAAAAAATCTAAAGTTTTTGAGAGAGTTTAGGCAATGATGAAATAAAATAATGACAACATTAAAATTATTTGTCAATAATTGCATCTATTAACTAGATTGGAATTCAGATTTCTAAAACAAAGGAAGAAATACATTTCTATCAATCTAATGTAATAAAAAAGAAAACAATTTGGATATGAATTAATGAACCCAGGATACCTTGCTGAAATGAAAATGATTGTTTTTCTTTTGGGAGTTTTGAAGCATTTCCTTTCAATTGTAGAAACTACAAAAGGCTTAATCGGTACTTGTGAAATTAATTTGCATAAATGTAACTGATTTTCGTATTCTATGTAAAACAGTTATATAAAGGGTATTTTTATTTCCTTTCAGGTCTGTAAACAGCCACTACTGCAGAAAAGTCATAGGTGGGATGGTATGGAACCCAACTATGAGGAGATCTTTATCGGTTGAACATCTAGAGACCAAAAGCCTGCCTTCTCGGTCTCCTCCTGTTACCCCTACTTGGTAAATAAAGTTTCAGCCTTACAAAAAATAAAGGCAAATTGCTCAATTTCATTGTACATTTACAAAACAGGACATAGTATATATTTTAATATAGTCTGTATATATTTTTTAAAAAGCCTGTTATTTTAAAACAAGTAATCTACCAAGGAAGTTGATCATTATATCATATTTCAGGGAAAAATCAATCAGTTCATTTCCTTGTCAAAGCACATTTGTATTACAGGTTTCAGTTTATTTGCTGCACTTTGTACATTGTATGGTCACAAGATTTTCAGAAATATGTAATGACCATTAATATCATTCTGGAGTGTATTAACAGCAGTGTTGTATGTAAAATGCAGGAGGTAATCATCCTGCTCTGTTCTGCACTGGTGAGGCCTCAGATGGAGTACTGTGTCTAATTCTGGGTGCCACACTTTAGGAAAGATATGGACAGATTGAGAGAGTCCAGAGGAGAGCAGCAAAAACGAAAAAAGTTTTAGAAAACCTTATGTCTGTGGAAAGGCTAAAAAACTGGGCATGTTTAGTTTTGAGAAAAGAAGACTGAAGGGGGTGCCATGATAACAGTCTTCAAATATGTCATGGGTTGATTATAAAAAGGAAAATAATCAATTGTTCTCCATGTCTCATGAAGGTAGAAGTAGTAGCAGTGGGCTTAATCTGCAGGAAGGGAGATTTAGGGTAGATATTATGAAAAACTTTCTAACTAGTTAAGCACTGGAATAGGCCTCCAAGGGAGGTCATGAAATCCCCATTATTGGAGGTTCTGAAGAAGAGATTAGACAAACACCTGTCACGGATGGTCCAGCTTTACTTTATCCAGTCTCAGCACGGGGTGCTAGACTTAATGACATCTCAAGGTCCCTTCCAGCCCTATACTTCTGTCATTTCAACCAATTTTTCTGTCACTGAAGTAAAACTTACTGTGTCCTTTAATTTAGATCTCAGGGCATGTATTGCAATAGAATGGAATTAGTCACTTTTGAAAAAGCTTTACGAAGGATTCTGTCTCAACCAACTTGTATTCATGTGTTTCCCGTAAGGAGGAGTCCTAGACTACGTCATGAGATTCGTAAACCACGACACTCATCTGTAGACAACCTTACAAATGAGATTGCCTATATTACAGAAACAGAGGATGTTTTTTACACGTATAAGGGTTCTTCAACATCAAAGGACAGTGATTCAGAGTTCTCCCAGAACCGCAGTCCACGGAGGAGGTAAGGATCTCGCAAACAGCAAGTCAATTGTTTTGACTTCAGATCTTAAAACATCTTTAATAGAGTAACAATATTACACTGAATTAAACTAATTCTGTATTTAAGTCTCTCAGAATTAAAGATTATGCAAAAAATGGGGACACCATAATATTTCATATACAAAGCGACAGGTATTTCCAAATATAGCTAAAATAAGAGTGTTCTCAGTAACTTGGAGAATTGGAGAAGGTAATAAACTTACCAGCCATTGCCTGCGTTAGGCACTGGCCAGACAAAAGAGCTAGAAAAATACATTTTCTAACTTAAAATGCAGTTTCTTTTTCTGTGATGCTAAGGAAGATGGCTTCTGATGAGCAGGATTACTCCTGATCACATGCACCATGTCACTTGGAGCATTGAGGCTTCCAATCTGAAATGCAGTATATTCTCAGTTTTAAAACACAAGGCAAGAATTTCTTTGCCAGCAAAGTTTGAACCTAACCCTTGTCAGGTTCTGTGAGTGATTGTGGACCTCAAACCTGGGCCCATGGATTCCCCAGGCAGTGCTGAGCCCGTGGCCACCACCCAGCAGCTCACCTGAACCAGAAGAGAAGGGGGCTTGTGAAGCTCTACCTCACAAAGGGCCTACCCACGAAGCTCCTGACTGGGGGAGATGTCCAGTCCCACCCATTGGCTGTGACGCAGTCATTAAACCAGAAAGAGGCACAGGAAGTTGTCTGAGTAATTAAATGAATCTCTTACTGGCTGCTGCTAGGGATCCTGCCTAACTTGCCTGATTCCTGAGCCCTGTCTTTCTGTTCCTGCCCTCCTAATCCGAGACCCCTGTCTGTTCCTGATACTTGCTTTCCTGCCTCACCCCCGACCCCTGCTTCTGCACTGTACTCTGATGCTGATTCCAGATTCAATCCCTAGCTTGGCTTCTGGTACTGGCTCTGGCTCTTGGCTTGACTCTTGACTCTGGTTCTGGTTCCTGACTCTAACTATTAGGTTTGATCGCCCAGGCCCCAGTCTCTACGGGTTCACAGATAAAATTTAGACTGGAACCAAACTGGACATGCAGTGCTTTTGCTGTTCTTAGTGCCCTGTTTCCCACAGTTTTCAAAACTGAGCCCCATTCAGGAAAATAGCAGAGTTCTGTGGCACTTTATAGACTAACAGACGTATTGGAGCATGAGCTTTCGTGGGTGAATACCCACTTCATCCGACGAAGTGGGTATTCACCCACGAAAGCTC